ATGTTTTTATTTTGGATTGAGTGAAAGTTTACAGGGCACATCATCAGCTTCACATTCAACCATTCATATAGCTTGTTTCATTACATGGATTATTATCCCTTCCATATATCACCAGTTAACAGTGTTTCTTTTTTTTTTTTTTTAATAGTAAAACTCTTTTGTTTTGTTTTTTAAAATGAATGAACTCTTACAAGAAAACAGAAAAAAGAACCTTGGGTTCTGAGGAAAATAGTTTGGAGAAATGGATAATTTTACTATAGCCACTAATTTTTACCAAAAGAGAGAGAGAGAAAAAAAGTAAGATAATAAATAAAGTTTATTACTTACATTATTACAAGTTTACCAAAGAGAGAGAGGAAAAAAAGAGAAATATAAGATAAGTGATCTAGAATATGATCAAATTGAATGACTATTTTATAAAGAGAAATATAAAGACAGAATCGAAATAGTACCAAAAATGTATACTGAAGGATGGTTACTGGCAGGTGTAATATAAAAGTGAAAAAAGAGAAACCTACTAAATATCCCAAAATAGAGGATTGGCTAAATTAATTATGTTACTCCATCTACTGGGAGGGAAAAGGTAGTTTACAAAATATACACATTGGGCTTCCCAGCCCACAGAGCAAGGAAAGCTGGGGCCGGAAGCTGACTTGTAGAGTGGAGGGACTAAGTTTGCTGCGTCACGGTGTTAGAGCTGAGACCTTTCAGGCTTATGGTAGAGTGGTGTATCCTGTGGGCACTTATCAGCAGCCCTAAAAGAGCGTTGTAACTTTGGCTGGGAAGACAGAGCCCTGTCCATGGTTATCTCCTTGATCTCTTCATCGACTCTTTACTTACATCTTGTTCTTTAAGCTTTAAGCATCACTCTGTCTTATGGAGACTTCTGTCTTCCAAGCTTCTGGGCTGAGCAAAGTGTCCTTCCTGTTTCCGATCATACTATTTGTCTCATGGTATTGTTACTGATTGTCTACAAGTACAAGTACGTAAGGTCCTTACTGTAGAGAATGTGCCTTTAATCAGTTTTCCCAGTGTCCAGCAAGAGGGTTGGCACATAAGAGATGTTCAATAAGTGTTTATAGAACAGAAGACTAGACGACTGGGAAGGAGAGAGAAAAGATAGAACACTGGTTTACTGCAAAGGGGTGATTATTTTATCTATGAATGTGGTGACACATACAGGAGGCAAAGTTATGAAAACTTCTTAGACATTACCTTGAGGGAATCAGTTACAACTCTTGGTGTCTCCCTGTGTGAAGGAATGAAGACAGATGAAGACTCAAGACGCTGGGAATCAATTAGTCCAATGGACTCATGGAACACATGAACACCAGTCATCACAAACATTAGAGCAGAAGAACTAGATGGTGCCTGGGTACTACTACCAACTATTCTGAAAGGGATCCCATTAGAAGGTCCTGAATAGAATGAGAGAAAATGTGGAACTAAACTAAAAAATTATAGAAAAGACCAGATTTACTGATCCAAAAAAGAGCCTGGAGGAAACCAAGACTATGGCTCTTGGTCATCCTTTAGGTCTGGAACTGAGCTCACCCTCATAGCGCAATTTTCAGCCAGGTAGTCGATATACAGGGGACAACAACACTAGTGAGGTATGCACATCATGAAGTGGTCAACCATTTAAGATCAAAAGGGCAGCACTTGTTGTTGTCATTGTTGTCAGGTGCCATCGAGTCGGAACCGACTCATAGCGACCCCATGCACAGCAGAACGAAACAATGTCCGATACTGGGCAACCTCACTACCGCTGCCACACTTGAGTCCATCAATGATGCCACCTGGCCAATCCATCTCGTTAGGGGTCTTCCTCTTTTTCTCTGACCCTCCACCTTACCCAGCATGACATCCTTCTCCAGCGACTGTTTCCTCCGGACAATATGTCCAAAGTAGGAGAGACGAAGCTTAGCCATCTTGGCCTCCAAGAAGCACTCTGGCTGCACTTCTTCCAAAACAGATCTATTGGTTCTTTTGGCAGTCCATGGCACTTTCAGTATTCTCCTCCAACACCACAACTCAAAGGCATCAATTCTTCTACGATCTTCCTTATTCACTGTCCAGCTTTTGCATCCATATGAGGCTATTGAAAACACCATGGCCTGGGTCAGGCGCACCTTAGTCCTCAAGCTGACATCTCTGCTCTTCAATACTTTAAAAAGTTCCTGTGCAGCAGATTTGTCCAATGCAATATGTCGTCTGATCTCTTGACTGCTGCTTCCTCGAGTGTTGATAGTTGATCCAAGAAGAATGAAGTCCTTGACAAATTCAATCTTTTGATTGAAGCACTTAGCTAAGGACAAAATTCAGAAGAGTTGGAGAAAAAGATGAATGGAAACATGAATCACAGAGAGGAAGTGAGATAGTTGATGTTACATGAGGGAATTGCAGTTGGTGAAATGAAATCAAGTATATGATTTGCTGAATGCAAAATGGACGATCTTCTCTGTAAACCTTCACTCAATTCACAAACAAAGTTAAAAAAAAAGGGGGGGGGGTGATTATTGTTAGTTGACAGAAGCAATAGTTGCTCACTTCTTATCTTCTGGAATATGCTCATTTATCTTTATATTTTTAACTAAATTGTACAAATGTTCTCTATAAAGCTCAGAATCAGATCTTTTAAAAAAGATTGTTGCTGTTATTGTTAAGTGCCATTGAGTTGGTTATGACTCATAGTAACACTATATAAGGTTTCCGAGGAGTAGCTGGTGGGTTTGAACTATGAGTCAGTACCAACTCAATGGCGGGAGAAAGATGAGGCTTTCTGCTCCTATAAAGATTTACAGCCTCGGAAACCCTGCTCAGGGTCGCTATGGGTCGGAACTGACTTGACAACAACCATGTTGCTGAGGGATAAAGCACTGGATGGCAAGGTTGGTTTGAACCACAAGGTTGGTGGTTAAAGCTCACCAGAAACACTATACAGGGTTGCAATGGACTCTACAGGCACTTAACACCACCAACAACAATGAAAACAAACAGATTGTACATGCCTCATACCTACCAAGAAAAATAATGGTTTTATAAACACTAAACAACAACAAAAGAACTAACAGATCTGTGTTGGAAGAAGTGCAACCAGAGTGCTCCTTGGAGGCCAGGATGGCCAGACTTCATCTCTCATACTTCAGCCATATTGTCAGGAGGGACCAGTCACTGGAGAAGGTTATCATGTTTGGTAAGGTGGAGGGTCAGAGAAAAAGAGGAAAATCCCCAACGGGATGGATTAGCCAAGTGGCAGCATCGATGGACTCAAGTGTGGCAACAGTAGTGAAGTTGGCCCAGGACCAGGGCAGTGTTTCATTCTATTATACATAGGGTCGCTATGAATTTGTACCAACTCGATGGCACCTAACAACAACAACAAAAACCAGACTGTGTGTGACAATATAAAAACATGAAAACCACCACTACTGCAGAAAGCAATTAGCAGAGAATGTGAGATGGGACTTTTGTGAGTGGGTCTGTGTGCCGATTATTCAGACCAGCACAGAACTACTGACATACACCATCTACAAGAACATGGGTGTTGTTGTTAAGTGCCGTTGAGTGGGTTCTGACTCAGAGCAACCCTGTATAGGGTTTCCAAGGAGGCTGGTGAGTTTGAACCTTATGGTCCAGCACTTTATCCTATAGTGACATGATAGTAGCTTCTTTATACTGAATATATATATTTTTGTAATACAAAGTTGATTGTACCATAACCCTGTTGTTGTAAGTGCTGTAGAGTTGGTTCCAACTTATAGCAACCCTGTATAGGGTTTCCAAGGCCTTAAATCTTCTTGGGAGCAGAAAGCCTCATCTTTCTCCTACAGAGCATCTGGTGGGCTTGAACTGTGGTTCAGTCCAGTGCTTATCATATAGAAGCATAATAAAATATGGATACTGCTAATACACATATTAGCACAGTGGCTCCATATGATAAGGCACTGTAAGCAAACCACGATGTCCTCAGTTCAAGCCAACCAGCCATTCTGCAGGAGAGAAGTGAAACTTTCTGCTCCTGCAAAGATGTACAAACCTTGGAAACCGTATGAAGGATGGCTATGAGCCAGAACTGATTCAAAGGCACTTAATAACAACAACAATACACATGTTGAATTATTTGATTTTTAAATGAATCCTGGCTCTTAGAGTCAATTAAGCTAGACTATCTCAATATTTTCAAATTATAAGACCAAACATAAAAGTTTAAATATTTTTCAATTTTCTATTTTCTATCCAATCAGAGTATGCTCGCATGTATTTGTAGCCCACTCTTGGTAGAGAGTCCTGGTGTGGTGCTGGTCAGATAAGCACTGGACTGCTAGCTGTAGGATAAGTACTGGACTGCTAACTGACAGGTTTGCAATTCAAACCCACTAGCTGCTTCTCAGAAACTGTACAGGGTTTCTATGAATCAGAACCAATTCAAGGACCCTTAACAACAATAACAATCATAATTTTTCCTAAATCAAGAATCATCTTCTAATTAACATTGTTTTTAGAGTTTCTGTTGTACCCTCTTTGATGGGTAGTGTCGTCTGGGGTCTTAAAAGGTTGCCAGCAACTACACAGCAAACAGTTGGTCTTTATTCACCTGGAATAGCAGAGGAAGGAGAGCTAGGAGTTGGAGCAGAAACTGGACCACAGATCTAACTGCTCCACGAACTACTGCTTCCTTTGTCATGAGGCCAGAATTAATTGAATGGTGCCCAGTTACCATTACTGAGTGTTTTGATGATCAAAAAAGGGGAGTGGGGGAGACGTACAATGGAATTTCAGATTTCCCATAGAACTCAGACTTACTGAACCCAGTGAGGCTAGAGAAGGCCCTGAATGTGCTGCCCTAAGAAAAATTTTAAATTTCAAAACTATCGGCTAAAGTCACCTTCAAACTAAACAGTAGTTTAGCTGAATTAGCAAAGAAGGATCACCTTGATCAGTACATTCTTTTGAAGAATTATCTCTATGAGATCAAACTGACAACAATAACTCTAAAACATAGATGAGGCGTTTTATGGGGCAGTGAGTCTAAGGCAATCGTAGCGAAAGATGGGGAGATGGTGAGAATGGTGACATGCCGTGACAAATGTAACCCATGTGAGTGAACTACACATGTCAAAATGGCTCAATGGGTGTAGGATCTGGCATGTATCTTTTCACCAAATCATTTTTCAGAAGCAAATTGTCAGGCCCATCTTCTGAGGTACTTTTGGATGGATTTGAACCACCAGCTTTTCAGTTAGAAGTTGAGTACTTAAACATTAGTGCCACCTAGGGACTCATATAGTGCTGTGACAGTGTGCTATCGAGTTAATTTCAACTCACAGCAACCCTGTCTGACAGAGGAGAACTGATCCATACAGTTTACTAGGCCAATAACCTCATCTGCATGTGAAAGCTGGACAGTGAATAAGAAAGACCGTAGAAGAATTGGTACTTTTGAGTTATGGTGTTGGACGAGAATATTGAAAATACACTGGGCTGTCAAAAGAACCAACAGATCTGTGTTGGAAAAAGTGCAGCCAGAGTGCTCCTTGGAGGCCAAAAGGGCCAAGTTTCATCTCTCATACTTGGGACATATTATCAGGAGGGACTAGCCACTGGAGAAGGATATCATGTTTGGTAAGGTGGAGGGTCAGAGAATAAGAGGAAGACCCCCAACGAGATGGTTCGGCAAAGCAACAGCACCAGTGGTCTCAAGCGTGGTAACAGTAGTGAGGTTGGCCCAGGATTGGGCAGTGTTTCGTTCTGCTGTGCATAAAGTCGCTATGAGTTAGTACTGACTTGATGGCACCTAACAACAACGATCTTTATGGGAACAGATTGCTAGGTCATCTCTTTCATAGAACAGCTGGTGGGTTCAAACCACCACCCTGTAGGTGTAGCATCTGAGTACTTAACCAATTCACCACCAGGGCACCTTTATATGTAACTAGGAGAGTGCACATAAAAAGAATGAGATGTCATTACACACCTGTTAGAATGCCTAAGATCCCCCCACCACCACCACCACCAAATTCAGAATGTTAGTCATTGGTGAAGACGTGGAGCAGTATGAATTGTCATACATGGCTGGTGGGAAGAAAGATATGGTACAGTCACATTAAGAATCAGTCTGTTGCCACAGAGTGAAACATCCAGCTGACTTGAAGCGAGGGGAGATGCACAAGAATACCCAAACTGGCAGATAGTACCCACCTGACCTAGCTTCAATGGTGCGATGATCAGAACTCAGCTAGAGGAAGATAAATTTAATAAAGGAAGCAATTATAAAGTGCTACAATTTGATGAACCTGATGGAGGCAGAGACGATGGCATGGAGAGATAGAGCAGCTGAGGACTCTAGACTCATGGAAAGAGAGAGGCTGTGTGCTGGTGGCCACAAGACTGGCTTCCAGAATATACCCTGTGGTTGTTTAAATGATTATATGCCCCAGCGTGTTTTTGTTTTTTGTTTTTTTTTTTAATACATGCACTAGAGGGTAGACAAGCATTGACATGGGTGACAGAGCAGGCAATACACGACTGGAGGGAGGCTGGCAGAGGAAAGATGGGGGTAGCAGGAAACACAGTGAGGAATGCAGTGATTAAGTGAATAGAGGTAAATGCTGATAACTGTTGGTGCATGGAGGGGATTACAACCATGGAATGATGCAAAGTACATGATCTATTGAATATAAAACTGATGATCTGCTCTGAAAACCTTCACTCAATTCACAAAAAAAAGTTTTAAAAAAAGAAAGTCTGGCAGTTTCTTATTAGGCTACACATAAGTAGACCATATGCTCCAGCAATTTACCCAGCTGATTTGTCCATACAAAAAATCTGCACGTAAATGTTTATTGCAGCTTTATTCATAATTATCCAAAATTGAAAGCAAGCAAGGTATCCCTCAATAGATAATGGAGTAAGCCAACTGTGGTACATCCACATTATGGAATTTTATCCAGTGATCAAGTGAACTATGAAGCCACTAAACGCCATGGATGAATCTGAAATGTGTATCACTAAGTGAAACAAGCCTGTTTGAAAAGGTTACATACTGTTTGACTCCAACTATAAACATTCTACAAAAGGTAAAACTGTAGAAAAAGTTAAAAGATCAATAGTTGTCAGAATTTAAGGAGAGGTCACTGACTAGGTGAAGCAGACCGGTCGGGTATCAAAACAATACTGTTTGATACTGTAATGGTGTGTCTGTGATACTATTCATTTGTCAAGACCCACAGAACTATACAAAACAAAGATGAACCTTAATGTATGTAAATAAAATGCAAAAATCAAGAGGTCAGGACATCCCAGGGTGGAATGCAAAATATGACAAAACATTGTCAAGATGGTAAAAGCTCGGAATGGACTACAGCACAAAAAAAAATTGCTTGAAAGCAATAAACATAAGAATTTTTTTAAAACAAAATGTTTGCTTCTGTCGATTATGACAGACTAAGGTTTTCTAGTAACCAAGAATTAACAAAAATTGAAACAGTCGGTCTTGTGAAAGAGAACTTCTCTGTTCCTGGAGATATTGAAACCCAACTATATCTTCACTGTTTGGAAATATTGTAAAGCAGTGATTCTTAGCCTTTTGGGAGGTGATGGAATCCTTTGAGAATCTAATTTCCCATAAAAATGCCATTATGCACAAATGTTCAAGATTCTGCATATATATTTCACAGCATTGTGATGAGTGACAATTCCTGTTGTAAAAAAACTAGAATATATCCAACATTCCTTCCATTCTGGGACTCTGATTATGATAAATGTATTATATACTCTAGGCTTCATGTTTGTTTTTTCTCATCTATACACTTCTCTTTTTCAGTTGTACAAGTGATGTATTAACTATGAGCATCAGATTAGTTGCCTTTATACAAACTGGGAAAAGATGATTCCCAGCTATAGTACACCACGTTTGGGCACATTCCGTCCTGGAGGGTCCTGACCTCCTAGATTATTTTTTCTTGTAATGTTCATGAATTAAGTCTCACTTGTAAAGATCTTGACAAATGTATAGTGCCATGAACCCACCATTACAGAATCATACAGTATACTTGGCAAGAAACACGCAGGCTGAATGCCAGTTCCCTCCCCCAACCTGGCTTCTAGTCCTTTAGAAGGTGCCCTCAGGCCACAACCAGTTCCTACATTGCCAGGTCAGAGATGAGACATGTGGCTAAAGCTGACGTACCCAGATTGTTAGAAAAGCACTAAGATAAACTTTGTTGTTGCTGTTAAGGGTTGTCGAGTCAGTTCTGATCCACAGCGACCCTGTATAGGGTTTCCAAGGAGCGCCTGGTGAGCTTGAACCGCCAACCTTGCGGTTTAAACCAACTTTGCAGTCCAGAGCATGAACCCACAGAGCCACACCAGGACTCCAAAAATAAACTTTACCACTGGTTAAATCATCACAATACTTAGGGGAAAAGCAGAAAAAAAAGGCATTACCCCATTTTTACTGCCAATGAAGAAAACAGATTTTTCTCCGATTTCAACCCCATCACCTTCATTTCTGTTACTTCCTCTTTTGTCCACTTCAGCTTTTGCAATTTCCCAGAGTGTTTCACTATATGAGAGGCAGAAAAACAAAATTCAAAAAAAGGAAAATAATCCTTTCAAGTATTTAGTTCAAGCTCAGTAAAGTTTTGTCGTTAAGTACCATCAAGTTGGTTCCGACTCATAGTGACCCTGTCTGTATAGGGTTTCTGAGAAGTGGCTGGTGAGTTTGAACCACCAATCTTGCAGTTCAAACCAATGGATCATAGAGACATGCTTAAACAAGTTTTGTTTGGGAAAAAAGTACATGTTTTTCTCCCACTCTATTCAGGTCCTTCTAATATGATCCCTTTCCCAGTGGCAGATAACTGGCCACCTTCTAACTCTTCTGATCTCAGGGTCATGGAGGCTGAAGTTCATTTGATCCATTAGCCCACTGGACTCATTATTTCTATGTGTCTTCAGGTTTCTTCACTCTTCTTTGCTTCAAATGGAGAAAGATTAATAGTTGCCCCTCTGTTGTTGTTGTTAAGTGCCATCCAGTCAGTTCCAATTTATAGACCCTGTATAGGGTTTCCAAGAAGTAGCTGGTGGGTTTGAACAGCCAACCCTGAGGTTCACTAGATGTTATCTTTAATACAAAAGTTCTACAGAAATGTGAACTACAAACCGCAAAGAAGGTAGTTGAAGCCCACCAGCCACTCTGCAAGAAAAAGATGAGACTTTCTGCTCCTGGAGATATTTTTAGCCTAGGAAACACAATACAGGGTAACTGAGTCTAAACTGACTCAACAGCTCTTAACAATAACAACAATGTATCAACTGTATTCCTAGTAGCAACATGTTTGGACTTTCCATGGTATTTATTGGACATGTTATATATGCAGAACACTTTGCTAGTCCCTAGGCTCAGCTATAAAATACTGACAGAGCCCTGGTGTGGCACTGTAGGATAAGCACTGGACTGCTAAACCTAAACCCACCAGCAACTCTCAGAAACCAGTCAAAACCAAGTGGACAGTACACACCACCAATAAAATGATGCCAAAAAAAAAATAATAATAAGAGTATCAACTTTATAGGGTTGTCATGATTGTCAGAACACGATAATCCATTTAATTGAAACAATGATCTTAAATTTACTAAGCGCTTACTGTTATCCAAAAACCATGGATAAAGCAATATACTAAAGAAGGCTAAAATAGGTGTCTGGTTGGATGACAGGAGTCTCCTTTTGTGCAGGAGACCAGCGTCTATTTGTGGCTAATCAGCCTGTCAGTGAAGGCATGTGTGTTGCCATGAGGTTGGAGAGATTTCAGTGGCGCTTCCAGATTAAGACAGACAAGGATAAAGCCCTAGGGAGCTACTTCCAAATATCAGTCAATGAAAACCCTATAGAACATAATGGTTGAAACCCCCTAGTGCCTGGGATCACCATGAGTTGAGAGCTGACTGGATGGCAGCTAACAACAAATGTATGTGCTAAAATCATACATTGATTTCAAAAGTGCTCATCTGTTTTCTAAGTATTCAGGAGAGAGAAGGAATTGCTGGAATCAGGCATGCCACGTGTGGAAACGTGTAACTATAAGCATACTTTTAAAAGAAAACCAATAATACTGTGATGGGAGGTCTACACTTTTTCACACACCACAGGTCATAAAGTAAGAAAACCAGCACATTTTGCTTTATGATAGGCTTCCTAATCCCACTTCCTAAAGTCTTCAGAAATTGTCCTCAGAAGATTTAGACTTTTTAAAAAGCTTTTGTTGTTACTTGAGTGACAGTTTACATGGGAGAACACTGGCTTTGCACTCAATCTATCGTATTTTATTGCAATGATTACAAGCCCTTCCATGAATCATCGGTCCACAGTATTTGCTTCTATTTCCTCTGCTGTTTTTTCTTTTTTTCTTTTTTTTTTTTTTGGTGTATACAAAAACAGACAGTAATATATAATCATTTAAACAACAAAAGGGTACATTCTGCAAGCCTGCCTCCTGGAGGCCAGCACACAGCCTTTCTCTTTCCATGAGCCCTCAGTTGCTCTCTCTCTCCATGCCTTCATCTTGGTCTCTATCTTTGGTGTCTGCTGCTAGTGCTCTTCTCTCTTGATGGTCCTAGGGTCCTCTGTTCCTGGAATGTAAGATTAACTATTCCCCCTTTTTGATGCACAACTTCTACCTTTACAGTTGTGACTATCACAATTAGTTATAACAATTACTACTGAATCAAATGAATCCTATCCCCATCTCCTTTCATTAGATCCATATAGACAATATGAAAACTCTTCAGTGGGGATTCTACCTTCCCCCACACACTCTGAAACTAAACTCCTTCTTGAAAACTTGTAAGACACTTCGTGCCTTTATAGCTCCTCCATTTTAGGTAGCCAGTGTGAAAGTTGCGCATCCCTATGAATCCTTTGTACAGAGAGGTTTGATCCTTGATGTAAAGACTCGTTCGTTCCCTTTAGGTTGGTATTTTTTGAGTTACTACATCCATAAGTAAGGAGCTCTGGTAGCGTAATGGTTACGAATCAGGCTGCAAACCACAAGGTCAGCAGTTCAAAACTACCAGCTGTTCCGTGGGAGAAAGATGAGGCATTTTGTTCCCGTAAAGATTTACAGCCTCGGAAACCCTGTATAGGGTCACTATGAGTCGGAACCTACTCCACGGCACACAGCCACCACATCCATAAGTATAGGTCAAGTTTATCAAATTGTAGCAATTTACACTTGCTTCTTTTATCAAATTTCCTTATCTTCCTCTAGTCCAGTTGTGATCATCAGGAAATGGGAGCTAGGTCTGATGGGCATTCTTGTGGGTCTCCCCTCACTTCATATCAACTGGATTTTTCACTCTCAACTCTAGCCCTCCGTGGTTAGGTCAGTGTCCATGGTCTCAGGCATTTCCAAATCTCCCCAAACTTTGGACCAACCAGCCCTTCCTCTTTTATCTCTCAAGAAAATTTAGATATATTTTGAGAACAGATAATGAAATAGACATTATGGAACTGACAAGTTAAAATGTACAGGGAGTTTCAAAAGGTTTGTAGAAAAATTGCATTAAAACATAAAGGTATTTCCCCCACAAACTCTTTTAAGTCCCCTTCGTATTTTACAGTTATCCAAAAAAAAAAACTTTTTTTAAACGAGATCCTATACTTTTCAGTGCCTTCACGGTTACTTTACTGGTACCAAGGGCAGTAATCTGGGGAGGATCCCCTGCTCCTAAAACAGTCCCTGAGTCCCAAGTAACGTTTCTTACATGAATGAACGTTTACTGGTTTCAAAGTCCTTTACTTTTCTACCTGGGGTGTAGCTGGTTGGTTGTGCCAGAATCCACACGCTCAAGGGTCGTTGTTACTGACCTCTGACCATCTACAGTGGAGATGCAGGCGGGCAGACTCAGAACACTTGTTGATGCTCCCCCCACACCACCACCACCACCACCACCACCACCACTTGAAAACTATCTTTCCCCCCAAATTCAGAGGCTTCTTCCTACCCTGCCCCTCACAGGCTGGCTTGTGTAAAAAAGGACACTCTACATAGACGTTTAAGATGGGTGCAGGAAGGGCTGAATGCAAAAGTACCTGGGCATCTTGGTTTATCGCCCCTCGGTCGTGGGATCCGTTTAGGGCCCAGTTTAGAAAACTGCAGGCAGCGAGCGACCTAGGAGAAGAGTCCGAGAGCGTGGGGGCCTCTGGGTTGCCATGGGAATGACGTCGCGTCTTTGGTTGCATACGGAAAAGGTCATCATGGGAAATGTAGTTCTCAGTGTTCCTTTTCGCGTTTCTAAGTGAGAAAAGCTATTGAAGGAATACGTCCAATGTGCATTGAAGGAATTGCCAAAGAACATGGCACTGGGAATTGATGGAATACAACCTGAAAACTTTCAAGACAGTGAGGCATGGGAGGCATTCATCTATGGCAAGAAATTTGGATGACAACTATCTGTCCCATTGATTGGAAGACATCCGTATTTGTGCCCATTCCAAAGAGTGGGGACCCCACAGAATGCGGAAATCATCAGACAAGATCTTTGATATCCCATGCGAGTAAAGTTTTACTAACGGTAATACAAAAATGGCTGCAAGCATTCATTGACAGAAAACTTCCAGAGGTTCAAGCCAGATTCAGAAGAGGACGTGGAACGAGAGATATCATTGCTGATGTCCAATGGATCTTGGCTGAAAGCAGAGAATGACAAAAAGATGTTTACCTGTGCTTTATTGACTATGCAAAGACTTTTGATTGTGTAGATCATGACAAGCTATGGACAATATTACGGAGTATGAGTAGTCCTGAATAATTGATTGTGCTCATGAAGAATTTGCACATGGATCAAGAAGCAG